CGGCGCGGTGCCTGCACGCCCTCCTCCCCGCGGAGCGCCCGCTTCGGTCACGCCGCCTGGCACCGGCTCACGTATGCACACACGCCTGTACTCACCTCGGGGGAGATCTTAGCGGGCTGCAGTATGCAGAGCTGCAAAGCTGGGAAGAAAATGCTGATGTTAGCTTACTTCTGGAGGCAGCGTCACTTCAATCTGCGTTTCCCTCTGGCTTTTCCTTCAGCCTGACCCCTTTCATCCCCAGAGCCTCCGGGCACGCAGTAACTGTGTTTGGGGACATGGTTCAAGCGGGCAGGGGGAGAGGTGGGTCTCAGCTCCTCTCCCATGGGAGGGAGCAGCAAAACTCCCTGAAGTGGATGGTGCTAGAAGTGTTTTGTCAATGCGTGAAGCAGTCAGATATGCAAATGTTCACCATCAGGCTGCCAGCTGCCTGCTGGGGAGCCACAACTAGAGCATGACTGAAATTAGATGTGGAAAAGAATAGGATTAAAAAAGCAAGTTTCATATGTATGGGACCTATGTTTCATTTTCCAAAAGCTCTTACATGCTTCATTAAAGATGTCTTGCATTACATCTAGGCAAAGATGGTAACGGTGACTATAATTTAATTAGCTTAACACTTCCCACTAAAAATGCACGTTTCTGCTATCTATAACTTTGCCGTTACGCTCTGAAGTCTCTCGTGGCCTGCATCTGTAATACCGCTATGGGAGAAAGAACAAGGATCGCCATTGATGCTGGCAAAGTCTAATTCCTTTGTGGCATGGTGAAGAGGCTGCAGACAACTGTGCCTTTTATGAAGAATCCGCAGTTCAAAGAGCTTTACTGAATGTGCTATTCAAGCCATTAAAGCAATCAAGGGGTTTATTAAGTAATGAGGGACTAATTCTTACTATATTGCTATGTCAATCATCTGGTGGTAGAAAACGTATGATTTAGCAATAACAGAATAACCAGTGCTGATGATACTACCCGTGCTGTATTAATCTGCCTTTTCCTTCACACGAGCCCTGTGAGATTCTCCCCGAAACATCTGCATTTAAATCTTTTCCTGTGCCTTTTTTTTTTTTTTTTTGGTTGAATTAAACCGTTTGGCTTCTCACCTCCATCCAAGAGAGCCAGGGATGCCAGGACCAGGAAGGGAGATGATTTCCCCACGAATTCGTACATCACACTCCCAAAAGGGGCCCCGACTGCAAGGGAAAGGCTGCGTCACACAGCGGCAGTGCCAGCGTCCCCAGCGCCCGGGCAGCAGCGCTCGGCTCCTGCCATCGTGGTTTTCTCTGAGTCCCCCGGCGGGTGTTTGGTGATGGGTTTTATCAGAGAAGGTGTCGGGTCCAGCGAGCAGTGGCTGTGGAGAGTGACTGGAGGGAGGGAGGGGGACAGGCCAGCCATGCCTGCGGAATGCCGCCCGGGAAGGGGCACAGCCGGGCAGGCGGGAGCCGTAGGTGGTGGCCCACAAGGCTCTGGAGATGCCGTTGACGTAAACCCCGTTGGGAACACGCTTTCCTTACTTAGCACACCCAAGGCCAAGCCTCCAAGAGCGATCCCCATGGCGTTGCCCCTCTCGAAGTCGTCCGTGTACACGCTGGCCAGCATGCCCAAGCCTGGGAGCAGAGAAAAAGCAGAAGCACGTGAGGCTGGCTGGTGCCGTGGTGGTGGGGCCCCTCTCTGAAAGCAGCCTGGGCTTTTGGGGGGATTTATCTGCTTGCCAGCTGGGCTGTGTGGGTGCATCGCCTGCACCAGCCAGGCGGGCGCACCGAGGAGGAGGAGTTTGAAGCTGAGGAAGGCACTCGGTGTGTCTGTGCTGCTGGTCGTTCCTGAGACGATAACTGAACCCAGACAAGGGGAGCTACCGCAGAGGCCAAGGTGTCGCTGAAACATTTACCTGCCACTGATGAGAACGACGACCCAATGCCTTGGAGGGCTCGGGCGATGAACAGCAAGGTGTAGGTGCCTGAAAAAGCAAACACTGCGGAGGAAGGAGAGAGATGGCGTCAGGCAGAACTGCGGACGGAGCGTTAAAACCCTGCAGAGGGTAACAGCGGCTCAGCTTGCACCCGTTTGGGTGCTGGAGGGTGCTGGGTGCCACTCGTCCTTTCTTGTCACCAATTTGAGACCAGCTGCTCTGCTCTCACTCCTTTCTCCTGCACAGGGACAGTGGTGCAGGCACAGACCAAAGTATTTTCTCCCGTGCTGCTGCGTATGAAGGGCAGACTGAAGGGCAATACTCACTGACTGTGGAGAGGAACATGATAACGAATCCGATGAACATGGGGATGTGGTACCCTACCCTGGAAAGGGAAAAAAAGAGGCACCGTCTCGGGGAGGATTCCTCATTCCAGGTGGAGCTCTGGTCCCGCTGCCCAGCCTTCACACACATCTCTGTGGGCTGATGAGCATCTCCTGAACATGTGGGTGTGCCCGTGAGCGCTGTTTGAGGAAGCGTCTAAGTGCCCCCAGATAATACGTAAAGCACGCCCAAAACACGGCACTCTTTTGCCAACTCATCTGCCCACCCAGACCACGTGGAGATGAGCCCAGCACCCCTCACACGTGTCTGCTGGAGACAAGGGCAAATAAAAACTCAGGGGCAGAAAATCTAGACAACAACATGATATCCATAGCGGGGTGGGAATCTTTCTTTGTTTATTTGGTGGTTACTGGTATTAAATAGCATCTGTCTGCACCTGAGGAGAGCATTAGTGAGGCTTCTGCTGTAATATAAACTGGCAAGCCATTTGTAGACTCTTAGAAAAAGTAAAATTCATGCTTATTTTGACGCGTATATTCTCCCCCTTGCTATTTTACCCACCGGTTCCTGCAATTCTGTGACTGCAGGGGCTGTCATGTGCAGCACAGACCTTTACTGCTCAGCTAATGGTGATTTCATTAGCAGGCAGGAGCTGCCCGTCCCCGAAGGGCTACACCCCGCTGCAAACCCAGCTCTCTGACCTACCTGTTGGTCAGGAGGCCCACGGACGGGTTGACCACCAGCTGTACGAAAGCCTTGGAGGCAAACAGCAGCCCCACGCGGACGTTCTCCTTGGCGAGGAACTCCTCGCCCTCCGGGCAGCCGCGCGGCAGTGGGGGGCTGCTGGCGGGGGGCTGTGGCGGGTGGCTGCTCTCCGT